CCCCATTTTTTTTTTTTTTTTTTTGGAGCCATTTCTTTTTCTGCTCCCGGGCCTCCTCTCTGGCATAATGCTTCGCTTCTGGTTCTTCGGAAGAATCAACTTACATCTCCCTTTGGGGAAAAGTAACCGTGTAAGAGCGATATAATTTTCACATGTGATCACTGAACTTCATCTAAATTATTTTTTGTCATCGATCAATTATTTGTCACTTACCCAGAAAATACTAATATCGGGTCAAGGCTATGACACGTCACTTGCCCCTCCAGCACTTTATAAATCCCACATTAGAAAATAATAAAAAAAATATCGGCATGCCCAGTTATGCACACGTTGTCGTAACTTTGATCGTCCAATCATTTTGTATTTTATGAGCAATTCACACATAGTTTAGTTACTTTAATATGATAAGAAATCGTTTTGTAACTTCACTGATATTGGCACTAGATTTAGTAGTTATACGTAAGATTAGCAGTTCCTTGAGCCGATGGTCTATCGGAAACAACCTCTCTGCCTTCTAGAAGGTAGGATTAAGATTTTACCTGGTTTGTTGTTGTTATTGTTGTAAATACAATTAACTCTACTATTTGATCTCAGGTACTCAAATTCCAAAGTATATCATAAGGCAAAAAAATAAGGGGCAAGAAATAGAGCATACCAGAAAGTACAGCTTGAATGCAGTCTGATACAATCAAGACACAAAGAAAAGGAGTCATATCCCTTAGATAATCCACAACTTCCTTCTCATTACTGAATGCATATCCTAAAATATTACGGCAACCAAAAAGAACACTGCTGCAAATTATCGCAGCTGCCATTGAAATTGTAAGTGTTGCCCTGATAGCCATTTTTGCTCCCTCGGGATTCCCCGCTCCTAGTTCATTAGAAACTCTAGTGCTGCAAAAGGGAAAGCGTGTATTTTGGAAGTCATTTTTCTTTACAAATATGTACGAGAAATATGTAATACGATACAAAAATCAGCAGAAGGATCCAAACCTTGCTCCAGCACCAAGGGAAAATGGTATGAAATAAAGTGTTGAAGCAACCGACATGCTGTCAATAACACTCTTTTACATCGTCAGTGTATAAAACTTAAACTCTTGTTATGAAATGGTGAAAGATAAGAAAATAATGAAGTGTACCATATCGAAAGTACTGAAGTCTCGAGCTGAGGCTTTGGCAAGAGACCAGCAAGCAGTATCACTATCTCAAATGTCCACCACTCAAGGCTGCAATCATCACAATGTTCTATTGGTTAGAATAACAAACTAACAAAACCATAAAATCTCGGTTGAAGATATAATTAAATAAATAAAAAATATATTCTTCTTAACAATTTAAGTTTTTAAATGAGATGATCATCATACAATTCGATATGGTGTTTGAGCAAACAGACACAATTAAAAGTATGCTCTCTCTAAAGCTCTTATGTTAGTGGTCGCACACTTCAACATGGTATCAGAACAGTAAAGGTCCTGTGTTCAAGTCTCACTATCACCCTCTGTAAAAAAGAATATTTACCTACTTGTCCCATGAAAAAGAATCAGACGCACGCGCGAGGAGACGTGTTGAAAACATAATTAAGTAAATAAAAGTGCGATCGCGCTTTTCCTATCAAGAAAACTAAGGCAAGAAACCATTAGGCATTATATATTTCTTTCAAAGAAAAGGATAAGGAGCAAACTTACCAAACCATGCAAGCAGAAGGAATAGCCAAAGGGAAGAATTCTCTAATGCTAGCCAAAAATTCTTCTGCTGAGAAACGAAGACGAGTCTTTTCGCAAGATGAAGAGTATTTCACATACAAACCAAGCAGTAAAACATTGAACCAATAAGACAAACCAATCGCAACAGCAGCTCCACAACTTCCCAAGTTCAGCTTGAATATTAATAACCAACAAATAGGCACGTGAAAACATAGAGTTGCAAAAGAGCTCAGTACCATAGGAAGGATCAAGCTTTGCGTCTGCAAATACCGTATCAGTGCTTGCAAAATCGCGAAAGGAAATACTGCAGCGATGAGCCAAATTGAGTATTTGGCTGCTTCTATGGAAATAAGAGGATCTTGTCCCATGAATATAAGAATTTTGTCAACAAATAACCATAGTACAGATATTGGTATGCAAACCATAAGTAGAGATATAATAGCCCCAGTAGTGTAGATTCCTAATTTATTGTATTGTTCAGCACCATAAGCTTGCCCGCAGAGAGTCTCTAAACCACTAGCCATTCCTAACTGCATTGCAAACAGACATATATTATAACCATTAATGGGAGGATGAAACCGTGAAATTTGAAGTTAGCTAAGTCTGTTCATTATGCGCGTTAATCGGTCTAATAGATCAAGAGCTACTTTAGTCCTGAAAATTACTGAGAAGTGTGTATAAGAGACAGACTCTTTAAAAATAATGTAAATTAAACGTCAAT